TGAGAGTAAAACAAGCATACAAAGAAACAGTTCTAGGAGTTAGAGAATGAGTACTCTTGTGGGCTCTGGTCAGTTAACCATTTCATGCTTCATCTTTAAAACAGGAATCAATAACTTCTTTACATACCTTCAGTGTATTTGAGGCTTCGAAGAAATAAAATGTAAGAATACTTTATAAAGTTTTGGACAAATATAAGGTGTTATTATTATGTCTAATGACATTAGCATATCTGAAACATTCTTCTGAGTAGGTATAATCAGAAGACTTTGAACTTCAGTATACTAACATCAGTATTTAACTGTGATGAAAATACTGTTCTTAAATTAAACCCCTCACCTCCACTTTTTTTTTTTTTTAAATCAAACTTAGCTACAAATGTGACAGGAAGTGATTGCATATTTGTGTGGGTTGGTGTGCAGATCTGAGATATGTGAAGGAAGTTTTGAAGGACAATTTGAGTATAAAGACTTATATGAGTAAGTCCCAAACTTGCCTGCATGTTAGAATCAGCTGGGAAATTAAAAAAAAAAAAAATAGATTTCTGGCTCCTTTCCCAGATTTTAACTCAAAAGATAGGATACAATTCAGCTGATTTTGACCTAAGTGTTTCTGATGGGAGTGAACTACTGTACTAGATAACGTTTTTTTTTAAATTAGAAAATGGTTCAATACAGTATAAAATACATATGAAAAACTTGTGCATTCTATAAGAGTCTCTTGATTACCTAAATTTTCTTTTCTTGTTGCTTGAAACAGCATGAGCCGATGAGCTGGACCTTAGAGGTTCTGGCCTAAGAGCCTGGCTTGTATTTGGCAATCTAAAAATTGCAGACAGTTTTTTTGTGTTTGTTTTTGACTCTCTGTGCTAAGGTCCATTTGGCTCTAGTGGGAAAAAAGTCAGTCAATAACCTATCTTAATAATATTAGCTAATATTTATTGTGCATTTACTGTGTGCCAGGCTGCTCTAAGCTTTTTACATGGAATAACTGGATTATTCCCCTCAAAGGCTCTTTGGGGTAGGCTCTCTTTCTCTCTTCCTCTTTTTAGATGGTGAAACTGAAGCACAAAGAGGTCAAGTAACCTGCCTGTGTTATGTTGACAGTGAGAGCCAGCTCTAGGGTGGGGACCTTGGCAGTCTCACTGCAGAGCCTGTGTTTTGAACGGCTACAGTATACTACCTGTTATGCTTTCTTGTGTTTTTAGTAAGTGAAATGCAGAATAAGTGCTGTGAAATGCCTACAAACAACGTTAAGGGGGGACAAGAGTGCCTAAAGAGAAGCATGCTGTTTGGAACGATCACTGCTGTGGAGACGTGCACTAAGATAGCCAAGCTCACCACTTCTTTGAAAATGAAGCAGATTGGCGCCAGTTCTCGCGCTGTCACGCTAATGTTATTTACTCCATGATGTGGTCCTAAAGCAGGCAGCACAAATTAAAACAGTGAAACATAGAGATGGATATTAGGGTAATGTTAGGCTCTATTAGATTTCACCAAAATCAGTGATTTTTGTTACAGTGCCTAATTTAAGTAAAACATTTTCTCCAGAGATTGTTGCTAGTGGCTTTTATTGCTTGTCACCGCAGACTGGAGTTTTTTGCACTGTTGAATAAAGTCACTTGGTGTAGGCATTTAGATATTACTCCCTGTGACACCTTGATCAAAGGAGCATTTCTTTTACTGTCTTAGTCCTTTGTAATTTTTGATTGGGTCTGCAATGAATTTGGATTTTAGGTGTTACTGTCA